AAGGGGGACCACATGGGTTGCCAGTCTGGGTCACTAACTTTATCATCCTTTATCCCCTCCCAAATATATTTTTATTGATTTCAGAGAGGAAGGGAGAGGGGGAGAGAAGGGAAACATCAATGATGAGAGAGAATCATTGATTGGCTGCCTCTGCACACCCCACACGAGCGATCAAGCCTGTGACCTGGGCATGTGGCCTGACCATCAAACCGTGACCTGGCTTATAGGTGGACACTCAACCACTGAGCGATGCTGCTGGGCTCCCTCATCCTTTCTGCTAACCTTCCTTTTGCTAACCCCTAGCCAGCCTCACTGCTCGCGGCCTTTCTCTGCTAGGCCTCCTTAGGGCCGTGGGGTGATGGCCAGTCCTGGTCAGGCCCCGGCGGGTGGGTGTGCACACCGTCTCCCTGCTAACCACTCACACTGCACTTCTTAGACTTGGGCCACATTCCCGCGTCACGTGCACAGCTCCCACCCATGCAAATCGTCTCCCCATTCCCAGCAGGGTGTGTCTAGGGGCGTCTCCCTGTGTCAGGGGCAGAGTGAATGTGCCCCTGCATGTATGTGCGTGTTCCAAGGGAGGGCAGGCCGCGGAGCAGCTGCCTGTTGGCCCGGGCTGCGCAGCGGCAGAGGGAGCCTGGCCGGGAACTCGGGCGCCTTGGTTCCTGCCTCTTCCACGGACTAGACCGATGATCTGGGCAAGCTCTCTCTCTCTCCCTGCTTCTCATTTCTCCCGACCCACCTGGGACACTCAGAATGTCTGGAGCCTCTCCAGCGTGGGCAGATGTTAGGTCTGTGGAGGGATCACTGACCAGGCTTGGTCTGGGAGCTCTCCAGGTCCCCTGCCTGCGGCCTGCAGCCTCGTTCTCCTCAGCCCTGCCCTTGGCCGCCTGGGGCCCTTCCCTGACCCAGCTGGCATCGCTCCTACTGCCCCCTCCGCCTGGAGCGCGCTCTTTGGCGGCACCTCCTCTTCACGCCCATGCTCTCTCAGTTCCTCTTTCAGCCAGGACACCTACTCGTATGCGAGGAAGCCACACGCATGCTGACTCTGAGAAGACCCTGGTTCTGGCTTCCATTGGAAAGAAGGCAGCTGGGTCCCGACTTCTGTCCCTGGCCTGGCCTGGCACCCCCAGCCTCCGGCTGGACACGAGCTGGAGGACTGAGTTGGGCCTCGAAGTGCTTTTTGCTGGCATGGGGTGGGGTCAGCTTGGTTCTCTCCTGCCTCCTCGCCGTTGCTGCCCATCCTAGGCCAACACCGCCCCTGCTCTCATCTCAGCAGGAAGAGTTTCTCTTTGGGGCAGCCCCAGGCTGGTCCCTGAGCTCCTGTGATGGCAGCTGTTATCCCCACTGCTGCGCCCACCATCAGCAATAACTTGTTATTGGAACCTCCATAGAGCTTAGAACTTAGAACTTCATAGATTTCTTAGGACTCGAACTCATAAAGTTCACAGAGTTCTTAGACCTTCCTAGGGCTCAAAACTCAGAACCTTTAGTCTGTTTCATTTAATGCTTCACACAGTCTCAGGCTGTCTCTGACCCAAGGGCAGAAATCTGTGTCAGTTTTGTTTGCTGCTGTATCCCCAGTGCTCAGAGCAGGAGCTGGCACATAGTAAGTGCTCAGTACATATTCGACAAATAAATGAATGGGATCCTACAGTCCAAAGAGATGAATCACTATCTACCAACCACGAAAAGGTGTATAACAGTCTACTCTTAACCTGTTTAGATCTTTTTGAAAAGCCCATGAAAGCCTTCTCCCAAGAAAAATGCAAACGTATATGAAAAGTCGTGTACAGCAGGGTCTCTGCTTCACTATGTGATCACCACCCCCAGGGTGGTGGGAGTGGAGTTTGCCTTCCCAAGCCAGCAAGTTTTGTGAGAAAGCGGGCACGTGGGCTTGTGCAGAGCTGGTTGGTGCCTTCGTTCTCACAGGCGCACAGGAAAAGCCATGTTGGCTCCTATTAGGTTTTGAAAGACATGAGGAGACAAGCTGGGAGGTCAGGACGGGGGAGGCTGGTCCAGTGCTATAGCCAAGAACTTGGTCAGCAGGTGCAGCGGTAATCTCAGCTGCAGAATGAGGAAACATCCCCAGGATTAAATGTGGGAGCCAATGAGAGTGAGGAGTTGGGAGGTCAAAGATGTCCAGGCCAGTTTGACTCCTGCTCTTTAGATGTGGCTTCTTTGGACAGGTCTCCAGGCATTCAAAAGAGTCTTCTGCAGAAAAAAAGAAAGAGGGGTGGGTGGAAAGAAGGGCGGGAGGGATGGGAGGTAGAAAGGAATGAAGTGTAAAATTTATATCCACATGGAACCATCACTGTGATCAAGATATAAGCCCAACCAACATGACTCAGTGGTTGAGCATCGACCTATGAACCAGGAGCTCTCAGTTCTTCTGTCAGGGCACCTGCCCAGGTTGCAGGATCCATCCCCAGCGTGGGGCATGCAGGAGGCAGCCAATCGAAGATTCTCCCTCATCACTGATGTTTCTATCTCTTTCCCTCTCCCTTCCTCTCTGAAATAAAAACATACTAAAAAAGAAAAGATGTAGAATATTTCCACCATCTTCAGAAGTTCTCTTGTGTTCCATCCCAGTCAACCTCCCATTCCTGGTCCCAGTGACCACTGATCTGCTCTCTGTCGCTATAATGTGCACTCTTTTTAGTCTGGCTGCTTTCATTCAACATAATGCTTTTGAGATTCATCCACGTTGTTGTACGTGTCAGTGGTTCATTCCTTTTTACAGCTGAGTAAAAATTTATGGATATATCACAGTTTGTTTATCCATTCACTTGCTGATGGAAATTTAGATTATCTCCAGGTTAGGGCTCTCATTAAGCTTTTAATACTTAAACTTCCAAATTTTAAAAATATTTTTTTATTTATTTCAGAGAGGAAGGGAGAGAGGGGGGAGAGAAAATCATCAACAATCAGAGAGAATGCCCCACACTGGGGATTGAGCCCAATCTGGGCATGAGCCCTTGACCAAAATCAAGCCCAGAAGTCTTCAGTCCACAGGCCAACATTATCCACTGAGCCAAACCTGCGAGGGCTTAAACTTCCTTTTTTTTATATATATATTTTAAAGCCAGGCAGTCTCCATTTTCTCTCCCCAAATAACACAAGAACTTTAGCATGCTAACATGTTTCCTGCCCAACATCCTGCTTCCCACCCACCCAAACTTTCCCACCCACCCCACTACCTAGGGGCTCTTACCTGAATTTTATTTCCTGTGTATTGCAAACTTCAAAATAGTTACTTAATTCAGCTTTCCAATATATATTACTGATTTATTTGTTCATCATTGCTTATAACTCCTTCCCTTTGGGTTTATTTTCCTTTTTGTTGGATTCCAAAATTAAATAGTTTTTAAAAATATATATTTTATTGATCTTTTACAGAGAGGGAGAGCAAGAGAGAGTTAGAAACATCTATGAGAGAGAAACATCAATCAGCTGCCTCCTGCACTCTCCCTACTGGGGATGTGCCCGCATCCAAGGTATATGCCCTTGACCAGAATCGAACCTGGGACCCTTGAGTCTGCAGGCTGGCGCTCTATCCACTGAGCCAAACTGGTCAGGGCTAATTAGTGTTTTAATAGAGGGTCCATAGCTGGCAAACTTTTTGAGTTTTTATATGTTTGGAATTGTCTTTTCTTGCCCTGACTTATGAAGAGTATGCAATTTTGGATCAAACTTACAGATATGAATGCCTTCTTGCATTTGATATTGCGATTGGTAATCTGATATCAGTTGAATTCTTATTCCTAGGTAACTTGACTTTATCTAACTTTTAGGGCTTTCTCTTTGTCTTAGATTTTCAAATGTTTCACTATGATTTTTTTTAAGTGTGACCTTAAAAAATATCAGTGAGTTCTTTCAATTTTTGGGATTTATGTCTTTTTGAAGCTCTAAGAAATTCCCTACCAACTTTATCTGAGCACAATCTTCTTCATGCTTTCTTTCTGGAATTCCTATTAAATGGATTTAGAAATACCTGAGTTGATTCATTATATCTCTAAACTTTCCGTTTACACATTCCATCTTTTAATTTCCATGCTCACAAATACATTTTCGTCTGTATCCAGTCTGCCCCTCTGCCCAGCTCTTGTGAGTTTTTGTTTCATTGTTGACTATCACATTGTTCAGTTTAAAGTTTTCTAGTAGGATCTTCCAAAATTGCTTGTAACTCAAATGGTGTTAATATATAGCATTTTAAGGAATTTTTCTGGTTGTTTTGTGAACTCTTTACTTTGGGTAGGCTCTTTACTTGTTGCCCCTCTTTCATGGGCTTTGCATTCTTTATATCTTTGGTAATTCGTGATTGTAGTCTCATCTCTAAAGGTGCTGGGCTGTGATGCCTCCTGTCAGGCCATTGGCCATGCAATGACAATAGTGGCCATTAGGCGGCGGCGTGGGACTTGGGGCGGAGGCAGAAGTGCCGCAGTTGCAGTGACTGTGAGGAGCGGTGGTCCCGCCGCTGGGTGACAGTACAGCAGTGGCATGGACAGCACCAGGCAGGGGCAGCCCGGGGTGCTGCTGAGGCTCCAGTCTGTCTCCCTAGCTAGTGCTGCCTCGGGGTTTTCTATCCTTAAAATGCTCCCTTCCTTGTTTTCAATATCGGGCTGTGAATTTACACATGGACGTCTTTCCCATATTAATCTGGTAAGCAAAGAATTCTAAAGGAGAATTTCCAATTTCAAGATAAAAGAGGATAGGCTAACGATGTGTCCCGAGGTCGCCCTTGCCGGGTTTCCCACGTGCGGCGTGAACCCGAGGGCATCATGGTGTAAAGCACATGTGTCAAACACAAGGCCCGCGGGCCAAATCCGTCCCGCCAGGCCTTGCAATGTGGCCCGCACCGCGCTGTCATCACTGCACTCCGCTGTGTTTCCATCACAATGACAGTTTATGACTGTTCAGTAAACCATTCGGCCCTCGATTTAGGCTGGATTTTAGATTTTGGCCCCTTCTCTGATTGAGTTCGACACCCCTAGTGTAAAGCGATGGGGGCCACGGTGGTTCGCGAGATCAGGAACTTCAACCTGGAGAACCGGGCGGCCCGGGAGATCAGCAAGGCAAAGCCCTCGGCCGCCCCCAGGCACCCCTCCACCCGCAGCCTGCTGCGGGAGCAGATGAGCGGCCAAGCGGATATTAAGGGAGAAATTGTTAGAAAGGATGACAAATTGCTGTCGTTACTGAGAGATGTGTACGCTAATTCCAGAGATCCCGTGTCTTCTGCGCAGGACAAAGATGCTAGAACACCTACAGAGCCAAAGGAGTTCAGATTGCCGAAAGGCAATCATTTTGACATAAATATTGAGAATATTCCCAAAGGCAAAGTTTCCATTGTAGAGGCTTTAACACTTCTCAATAATCATAAACTTTATCCAGATACAGGGACTTCTGAGAAAATAGCAGAAGAATACCATCTAGAACAGAAAGACGTAAATTCTGTTCTCAAATACTTCACTACTTTTGAAGTCAAAATCTTCCCTTCTGAAGACAAGAAAGCAATTCAATCAAAATGAAGGAACCCTTGGAATTACTTTTCCTGTCCCCATGCCCTGTTTATTTTCTCATTTTTAGCATATTAAATTGTATAAATTACTGAATGTTTAAAGCTCCCTCCTTATGAGTGCATCCTATTTATTGACCTCCGCTGATAGAATAAATTTTGTTTCAACTTTAATTTGGTTTAGGCATATATATGGGTGTAATATAAGCAAGACTAACTATCAGGTTTATAAATTTATTTCAAATAAAAGAGTTAATTTTAATTGTTATTTTAAGCATATCAGCATTTAAGTTGGTCATATGACCTCTTAGGAAATGTCCTGATTCCCTTATTTGACACTGAAAGTTTAACTTTCCAATTTAGGTGGTTAGTTTATTCTTCCTATGGAAAAGTCAAAGTAAGCTTTCCTGACACTTATGACTGACATTTCCTTGTTAGGGAAAGGGAAGCTTGACAGTGAGGTGAGGTAGAACAGTATTTCCCAATTAAAGGCAGACAGGAAACTTGATATAAAACCAATAGAAAAAACATTTTTATTACTACATGGAATAAGGATTAGTAAGGCCTTTTTTTTAATATCTATTTTATTGATTTTGTACAGAGAGGAAGGGAGAGAGATAGAGAGCTAGAAACATTGATGAGAGAGAGTCATTGATCAGCTGCCTCTTGCACACCCCCTACTAGGGATATGCCTGCAACCAGGGTACATGCCCTTGACCGGAATCAAACCCGGGTCCCTTCAGTCCCCAAGCCTACGCTCTATCCATTGAACTAAACTGGTTTCGGCAGTAAGGCCTTTTTTAAATTTTGTTTTGAAATATCTTAAAAGTATAAAAAAGAGTTAGTGTTTTAAAATTTTAGCAAATCTGTACTTTGAAAGCAAACAGGTAAGTCCAAGAGCCTTCATAGAGGTAGGCAGTAGTGGAACTATCTGAAAAAAATAATTTTTTCTAGATTTACTGTAAAAATTCAAGAAAATTTTAAAGAATGATTAAATCAAAGAACCATGATAAATTTGGTGACCAAATATACATATTTTCTAATTTAAATTCTGGTAGAAAGAAAATAGCAAGTAGAAGCATATGATCATTGGAATGTGATCATTGGAAGGGACCTGGGAAATGTTGCTGCATTTAACAAATTTATGAGCACAACAGTACTAGGGTCTTCAGCAAAACTGTTCAAGTCCAACTCTGTTATGTTACTACCTGTGAGATTTTATCTGGATTGTGTAACCTCTTTGAGAATGAATTTCCTCTAAAAATTATTGTAATGCTATCTTACTTAACTAAGGGTTACTGTGAAGATAAAAATAACAAGTATGACTTTCCTTTACAGTTGAAAACAAAGATCTAAGTAAGTTTCATGACCTATTTACAGTTATGACATAGGCTTAGAATTTAGGTTTTCAAAATTATACTGTTATATTTTTCTGCTGTGCCAATAAGAAGCATATCTCAAAAGGGCAGAAGATATATATGGGGGAATATGGTAAGAAAATTCCAGATTATCACTGTCTTTCTGAAGGAAGATAGACATTCATTACTTCCTAGGAAGTCCTTTGGAAATAGTATAAGAGACGCTGAGGCCTACAACATGATGAGGGAATTAGGCATTTTTAATACCAAGAGCAAAATTGACTGAGATGGGAATTTTAAGCATGTTTTCAAATGCAGTTTCATTATGTGACTAGACCTAATTTATATTTAATTAAAAAATGTTATTTTTAAGAAAAGAATTCAGTATAAAATTACATTTTAAAACTCTGGTAAATCAATCATCAAAACTTCTATCCTTTATCAAATAAAGATCAATACTTGAATCACTAATACTGCTATTTCTGAGCCATTTTTCCTATTCAAATCTATACTGTGGTTGGGCGGCTGTAAAAATGTGGCTGTTATGTGGTGTCACATGTTAAAATAAAGTACTTCCCATATCATTAAAAAAAAAAAAAAAAAAAAAAAGAGGACAGGCTAAGATCACTCCCCAACTTAAAAAAAATAATAATAATTACACGGTAAGTTTACTAAATTTTTTTTTAAAGAAATATTTCTAAGTTGGAATTAACTATTGTATATCCTAAATAATAAAGAAATTTTAGGTATTATTGTATAAAAGTTTATTCTATTAACAATATCTGAGGGTTTTTTTGTTTTGTTTTGTTTTGTTTTTATCCCCACTGCACTTTTTAGTCCCCAAATGCACCACCAATCTGAATTGGCACCACTCTTCCTCGGGACCAGCTGAGTCTGACACATTCGAAGCCTCTTGGTCTGAGAGCCGCCTGCCTCCCTGAGGCTCACGGGCCGCTCACAGGGTGCCGTGAGGGCGAGATGAGACAAGGTGTGTGACAAGCCGAGCACGGTGGCTGGCACGCTGCAAACCCTCAATACACGGTGGTTACTCTTTTACACGGGGTGCTGATTGCTCCGAGCTGCCAAGAAGAAAGGCCTCTGGGCTGGTCCTAAATGACTGGTCCTCACTGCTCCCTGCACCTGCCAGGTGCCTTCAGAGCAGGCTGGCTCAGAACTGGGCCACAGCGGGCAGTCAGGGCGGCTGGGCTGCTGACTAGAGTGATGGGTACTCAGGTCCCACTCTCCCCTAGACGGGGGTAGGACTGGTCTTCTGGGACAATTCACAAGTCTCCTTGCCTTTGCCCCGTGGATCTGCCTCATCTCCTTCCCGCTTCCTGGCCGGGGAGGAGATGTTCCACCTCGCATGTCTCCGTGCGCACACGCATGTGCTCTCTCTTTCTTTTATCTGCTGTGCCAGAGGCTCCTGGTGGTGCTGGCTGACCTCCAGGAGGCTGGGGAAAAGCCCTTGGCATGAGAACCAGCCCGAGGGCAGAGGCCTGATCTCCTCACAGGACTTGTCTTTCTCTGGCTGGTTTATTTTATTTATATGCTAAGAACTCTTAAAATTCAAAAAAAGGGAAGCCCAAAGACCTGATAGAAAAATAGGCAAAGTATTGTAGATGAACAGGCAGTACATAGAAAAGAATGTATAATTGCCTTGGATGTTATATATAATCGACCCATGTTATTAATTACACATTAATATATTGATATATTATTATATCTAAGATATAGGACTAGATGATTTTATATACACATTCCAGTTTCTGGAACTGAAATCCATTGCCTTAAAGGAAAGCCAGGTCCCCAGAAAGAAGGACTCAGCAACATGAGCCTGGAATTGGGGGGCCTGGTCTAGTGATATCAATTTGGGAACCATCACTTTAGAAATGGCAGTTAAGGCTGAGAGACTGGGAGAAAATCATTAAGTGAGTATAGACAGAGAAAAGAAGACAAAAGGAAGTCTAAGAGCTGAGTCATGGGCACCCCAACCTTGAGAGTCAGGAAGGTGGGAAGAGGCAGCAGAGGTGACTGTGAAGGAGCAGCTGGTGAGGGAGAAGAAATGCCAACTAAGTGTGGTGTCCAGAAACTAGAGGGAGAGAGCGTTCCCAGGGGAGAGCATCACCAGCCGCCTTACATGCCCCTGGGAGGCCAAGTAAGACAAAGACCAAGTAAGACAAAGGGCTCATCACTGGATTGGCAATGTGGGTTCCCTGGGGGCCTGGTGAGCACGTTGGTGAAGTGGTAGGAGAGAAACCTGATGGTTCAAGAGAGAGTGGGAGGAGGGAAACTCATTTGAGGGACTATAAAGAAGATCAAAGGAATGGAGAAGTAACTAAAGAGATGTGATATGTTGGGGGGAAGAGAATTTTTGATATGAGAATGAGGAATTACTGCATGTTTAGTCACTGATGGGTATGATCCAATAGAAGAAGAAAAGTGATGATGCAGGAAAGAGGATGAAACATTTCTGGAGTGGAATCCTCCTGCACCGCTGGTGGGAATGCAGACTGGTGCAGCCACTGTGGAAGACAGTATGGAGTTTCCTCAAAAAGTTAAAAATGAAGCTCCATTTGACCCAGTAACCCCACTTCTAGGAATATATCCCAAGAAACTAGAAACACCAATCAGAAAGGATATATGCACCCCTATGTTCATAGCAGTACAATAGCTAAGATTTGGAAACAGCCTAAGTGCCCATAAGCAGATGAGTGGGTTAAAAAACTATGGTACATCTACACAATGGAATACTAGGCCACTATGAAAAAGAATAAACTTTTACTATCTGCAACAGCATGGATGGAACTGAAGAGCATTATGCTAAGCGAAATAAGTCAGAGAAAAATAAATATCACATGATCTCAGTCACATGTGGGATATAATGATCAACTTAATTTGGTGAACAAGAATAGATCCAGAGACAAATGACAGGGGAGTGGGCGAGGTGGGGGGTGTTAGAGAGCAACTGAAGGACTTGTATGCATGCATCTTAGCATAACCGATGGGCACAAGCACTGGGGCGGTGGGGACTTGCCCAGGGTGGGAATGGCTTGGGGTGGGAGGGGCGTCAATTGGAGAAAAAGCAGACATATGTAAAACTTTAGACAAAAATAAAAAATAAAAATTAAAAAAATAAAAATTCTGGAGCAATGTCCATGAGTTAGGAAGCAAGGATAGGATCTAGTGGACAGTGGGTGGGTTGGCCTTACATAAGAGATGGCCGATTGACCACTAGTTACAAAAGGGAAGGCTGGGGACGCAGCAAGAACAGAGATGGTTGGTGGTGAGAGCTTGGGGAAGTTCTTTTCTAGTTGTTTCTATTTCTCAGTATACCTGAAAATAGGAATCCAGGCTATCAGCTGAGAATTGGGAGGAGGTTTTTGGATAGAGGAGAAAGTATGACCGAGCCATTAGAGTGAAAGGGCACATCGACTAGAGACACAGACTGGATCTGCTGAGCAGCACAAGGACCTACCTGATGCTCATGGTCACGGAGGTAAAGTGAGACTGTCAGCTCTGTGGGTGCAGGTGCCAAGTGGTCCAAGAGTTGGATTCCATCAGGGTTGTGTGCTGCCAAGCGAGTATAATGAAGCAAGTGATGGGCAAGCCGGTTGAGAGTGGGGGTCAGCGAATGATTACAATGATAGAACATAGACCTGATGATTGACCTTATTATTCCTGAGGAAGAATGATAAACAGCAGTGGTCCCTTTGGAGTCTCAGTGGGGACCAGTCTACTCATATTTCTAGTTCCACCCATGAAAGCCAGCCTGTGCCCAACCTGGAGGCCTCATCTCACCAGCTGAGTGGGAGGCCT